TCAGCCTCCATCATTTATGCGTACATATTTCCGATTTCTAACCCTTCTAGAACATCATTAGAATTTAGATCGGTCAGCCTCCACCATCTATGCGTACACCACATTTAGGGTTTATAACCCTTCTTGAACATCATTATAATGGATGAGTCTCCATCACCTCTATCTTTTTGGGATAAGCGTGCGTGACACGGGGTTTAAATCTGTGTCCGGTACATCTGTGACATATGATACGCGTGTATCTATTACGTGTATCATCATCATCATCAGCCATGGTTAATCCACTGCTGGATGAAGGCCTTACTAACGCCGTCGCCGCCGTCTCTCGCGACGATCCTTTGGTGGGATAAATCCACCGAGCGACTGAAAAGAAGCCGATTCTACCGCTCCATCTCCACTGTAGACGTCCTCCCTGGACGAGTTTCATTCCTTGGCTTCCCACTCCGTTATCACTCGACGACCGACCATCCTATCTGTAAACAACGTGTCCTCCTGGCTCAAGCCCGCTACATCGTCTTAACAGCTCAGAAAAAAAAAACATCTCTATAACTATATTGGAACTGATAATTGGTTCTTTACCCTTCTATCTGGCAACAAAACTGACACCTTTTTGCAAGGAGTCATGTTTGCATAGACCGCAATACCTGCAGTCATAATACAAACAAAAGAACATAACTCTGATAATGTGCACTATCAGAGTTATGTTCTTTTGTTTGTATTATGACTGCAGGTATTGCGGTCTATGCAAACATGACTCCTTGCAAAAAGGTGTCAGTTTTGTTGCCAGATAGAAGGGTAAAGAACCAATTATCATATTTTTACTGGCAAATGAGGTCCCCATAGTGTATATTGGAACTGTGTCACCCATATATACCTATATGAGAGAGCCTTGTCATCCAGAACGGACTGTACAGCGGTTAACGACGCAATGCCCGATCCACAAATACGAAGGAGACGTCACAGCGATGCACTGCTCCTGGACGCGGTCGTCTGGGCTTTGACCACCTGAATGCGAAACTCTTGTTGTTGTTGTTGGTGCTCTGCAATCTACATGAGCCCACACGAAAAGCAGACGATCACCTATATACACGTACGCTTATCAATACTGGCGTTATCGTAACTGATCGATGTACTGTCGGCAACCAACGCTACATGACGAGGCATTTGTTTCGAATTCGGTACAAAAACTCAATATCTCAAGAGCCATATTGTTTTGTTCTTTTGGAAAAATCACGGAGATAGAAAAATAATAATAAAAATCACTAATGTAGATTGTAGCCTGGTTATTAAGCTGAGTGAGTGTACTGGCAGTCTATAATGTAGACTGCTGCCTGGTTCTTAATTGGAGTGAGTATACCGGCAGTCTATAATGTAGACTGTCGCCTGGTTATTAAGTTTGGTGATTGTACTGGCAGTCTATAGTTTAGACTGTAGCCTGCTTATTAACCTCGGTGAGCGTACTGGCAGTCTATAACGTAGACTATAGCTTGGTTTTTAAGCAAGACTGTAGCTTGGTGTTTAATCACAAGATGCACTGCGTGGTGAATACGAGACGGCGGGGGGCCCTTCATACAGAACGGTCACGAAGCAGTCACTGGGAGAGCCGCAGATCGCCGAGCCCGCGGTCTATGGGAAGCACATCCCTCCTCTTCCTCCCCAGCGCCTCTCTGCTGCGGCGCCGTGATCTCAGCCCGAAACAAGCCAACGAGCAGAGAGCCGTCTGCAATTGTCAAGTGACATCGTGGACCCTCCGATAGACGCGATCGGGCATGCGTGCCTGTGCGTGTGCGCGCGTGTGTGTGTGTAATATTTGTCTGTGTGTTTTACGTTGTGCGTAACTCTGTGCGTGTGTGTATATGTGTGTGTGTATATATTTGTCTGTGTGTTTTACGTTGTGCGTAACTCTGTGCGTGTGTGTATATGTGTGTGTGTGTATATATTTGTCTCTGTGTTTTACGTTGTGTGTAACTCTGTGCGTGTGTGTATATGTGTGTGTGTGTATATTTGTCTGTGTGTTTTACGTTGTGTGTAACTCTGTGCGTGTGTGTATATGTGTGTGTGTATATATTTGTCTGTGTGTTTTACGTTGTGTGTAACACTGTGCGTGTGTGTATATTTTTTACTTTGGTGGGGTAGCGGTAGTGTAGCGGTTAAAGCGCTGTGCTATGAAGCCGGCGACCCGGGTTCGATTCCCGCTCAGGGCCAACACCGGTGACAATTATCTGAACCGGTCCCGGGCCCCCCTAGGTCGACTCAGCATCAAATGAGTACCTCGTGCGGTGTGTAAACATCGACACTAGGGAGACAAAGGCGGTCGGGCGTGGTGCTGGCCACCCACCCCCTTGTGTATCGTTCCGGCCTTCACAGGTGCTCGCTAACAGCACTTGCCCCTACAGCCTGTTAAGGCTATACGGGGGATATTTGTAATTCGATATATGTGTGTGTTTTTTACGTTGTGTGTAACCCTGTGTGTGTATGTGTGTAGGGCTGTGCGCCTCGCACACTGTGTAAACATTAGCATTGGGGAGACAAAGGCGGCTGGGCGGGGGGGCTGGATACCCACCCCCTCGTGTGCCGTGTCGGTCTTCAAAGATGTTACTCGCTAACAGCACTTGACCCAACGGCCTCTGCAGGCTACCTGCGGGATCTTTGTCTTTGTGGAGCAGTAGTGTAGCGGTAGGCGCGCTGGGCTACGAACCCGGCGACCCGAGTTCGAATCCAGCTCACGGCCAAACACCCAGTGACGATTATCTGAACTGGTTCTGGGGCTCCCCTCGGTCGACTCAGCCTCAAATGAGTACCTGGTGGGTGTGTAAAGCGTACTTCGCCACTGGAGAGACAAAGGCGGTCGGTCGTGGTGTTGTGCACCCACCCCCTCGTAACCCGTGCCGGCCTTCTTAGGTTTTCGCCAACAGCACTTGCCCCAAAAGTATGTTAAGGCTATACGGGGGGATCTTTGTCTTTTGTATGCATGCGTGTATGTATGCGCTCCAATATTGACGGCGCCCATCATAATAATTCACTTAATTAATAAAACATAGCAATGCCCTTTATTTACCCAATTGAATAGCAATACCCTTCACTTAGCCAATTAAAATTGATATCCATCGTAAATATTGTGCGGGCTACTCACAGATCAACTCAGCTCGAAGACGAGTATCACTTTGCAGAGCGCTCAGGATCGTGATTGTTTATTTTTGTTCGTTTGTTAAAATCCACATTTATTACACAATTACCGAAAGTTCACACTAACGACGAACAGACATACTGCCCATACAGACGCCACACACACAGATAGCCCTAGGCGTGGTAACAGCCGATTGTATTGTGGTGACGAACAGGACGCTGTCTTTCCGACAGCTGTCTTTCCGACAGCCCTGTTCTTCACCTGAGGACGGCTGCTTGCGTTGTGGCGGAAACGTCGTGAGAATTGTATTTTATAATGTTTTATTTTTTCTTATTTTATTATTTCCCTTTTACGTGACTTTACCGAAAGAACCAAGAAGATGAATCCCTGCAGTCACGAAAGCTTTAAATCGAAACAACAAAACCGCTACTTAATAATCACTCGCGATAGATGTCCGATCCGTGGCCGGGAATCGCACTTATGCAGCCGAGTTCATAACCCAGTTCGCTAATCACTGCGCCACCACTCCCCCGCCTTGGTATTTCAGCAAAAGTCAAACGCCTTTCGGAGAAAGATTTTGTACAACCGTTGCTGGTGCTGCGCTGAATGGGCTAAACGGTTAACTTCTTGCCGATAAACGATTGGCAATCCAGCGGAAATTGTTAATCTCTGGCCGCACCCTGCCGATGAGACTCGAAAAAGTCACAACCGCTCGAGGCTTTGTGCGCTTAAATGCACGTAAATGTTGCTGTTAAACATTGCTTCCGATGTACCATAGGCGAACGGACATAGAAGTGTCCCATCAGCCTACACACTTGCACAAAGACAAATATCTCCCGTGTAGCCTTAATAGACTGTTGGGGCAAGTGCTGTTAGCGAGCAGCTATGAAGGTCGGCACGGCACACGAGGCGGTGGGTGGCCAGCACCACGCCCGACCGCCTTTTGTCTCCCGAGTTGCGATGTTTACTACACACCGAACCAGGTAGTCATTTGAGGCTGAGTCGACCTGTGGGCGCCACTGGCGAGATGTTAACTACCTCGCCTGGTACACAGGAGTGCGTAGGTTCGATCCCGGCCCTGACGCCTGCTGCTGTATATTTAGAGTTTGCGTGTCTCTCTTTCTCCCCGTGGTCGCGGGGATTTTTCTCAACATCACGTGTTTCGAGTATTTGGTTGCAATAGATTTCCACACGATAAGCCACTAAGTTGAGCTATCATTTGTGGACAGGTCGCATGCGAAAAGAGCTATGCAGCTCAGTGGGCCCTTACCTGGTAAAAAACAAAAAGTATTTATTTTTATATACAAAGACAAAAATCCCCCTTATAGCCTTCACAAATTGTTAGGGCAAGTGCTGTTAGCGAGTAGCACATATGAAGGCCGGAACTGTACACGAGGGGATGGGTGGCCAGGACCATGCCCGACCGCCTTTGTCTTCCCAGTGGCGATATTTACACACCGCACCAGGCACAGTTCTTATTTGAGGCTGAGTCGACCTAGGGGATATCCAGGACCAGATGAGATAATTGTCACTAGTATTGGCCGTGAGCGGGAATCGAACTCTGGTCCCCGGGTTCGTAGCCCAGGGCGCTAACCGCTACACAACAACGACAAAAACCGCCATTCGATACTCAGTGGCGGTGACATCACCACGACGCTTGTGCCAGGCTAGGTACACGTTGAGGCCACGTGAAGTGTCGAGCGCCCGCCGGCAGGAGGTCACGGGGCAGACCCAGCAGGCGCCACGGGGCGGTTCGCGTGTGTGGTGTGTGAAACCTCCCCGCGTTCTTTGGCTTTTTTTTTTTAAAGAGCGAGTCGGTGCAGCAGAGTGTGTGGGGGGGGGGGTGCTACACAGGAGCCACCGAGGCGCCTCTCACCTGGACGCGCGCCTCGGTGAGGTCGATGCGCAGGGCGAGTTCCTCGCGAGTGTAGATGTCGGGGTAGTGCGTCTCGGCGAAGACGCGCTCCAGCTCCTTGAGCTGCGCGCTGCTGAACGTGGTGCGAATGCGTCTCTGCTTGCGCTTCTCAGCCAGGGAGCCGCACTCCGAGAAGAGCTTGTAGGGAACTGTGGGCATCACGCCGCCAGGTAGGGGAGGGCGGGGAGACGACACGAGGAGGAGTAGGAGGGGTGGTGGGGAGACGTGCGGGGAGACACGAAGGGGAGACACGGGGAGAGAGACAGGAGGAGGGACGGATGAGATGCCGGCAGATTTGTGGGAGACACGCGGGCGACAGTTGATAGAGGGGAACAAAATGGGACAAAGCCGAGGAGACAGCGAGAGGGGGAGAGAGGGAAGAGACGGGTAGAGACAATGGGAGACGCGGCGAGGCGGACGGGTAACGGGATGAGGGGAGACAGGGAGGAGACACGGGAGCGGTTGATTAATGTAATTGACACTTGTTTGTACAGTACAAGAATCGCACAGCGCTCGGTCCCATTCGTACACAACGTGCAAAGAAACATCTACAGTCTATAGCCGTCTTGTAAATATATCGTTCGGGGGATGGCGTCGTTTGCGAGCATCTATTAAGGCCGGGGGGGGGTGGAGGGGTGGTGGCTGCACACGAGGGCGCCGTGTAGGGATCAACCTTTTCCCGGCCCCATGCGCAGTGCCGCTTGCACAGTCGGCATGACGCCGAATCCGCACGAATTGCCGAGTCGATGTAGGCGAGAACCCAGAACCGGTGTCAATGTCCTTCGATTTTCATGTTAGCTGTGGACGGGGATCGAACTCAGGCGGGTGGGTTTGTAGCGCAGTGCCTTAACCAATGCGTCACAGTCACGCGCACACACAACACGCACACACACACACTACCGCATACACACTTGATACAGCAATCGTGCTGTGACGGTTCCACCTGAAGGCGGAAGCTTGTGTTGCCTCCGAAACGTCGTGATTTTTATTTTATTTTTATTTTGCTTTTATTAATTTTATTTTTTTACCTACGTGACTTTACCGAAAAAACCTAAGAATATACACGCACCGTCGGTTAGCAGGGTTGGCTACGTACGGTGCGAAAAAAGTTCAACACACACACACACAAACCATCTCAAATTGACACAGACCATCTCTGTCATATATGTACACATACTCACACTATCTCTCTCGTTTACACACCCTCGCTATCTCTCACACATACACCATCATATAATTATAGACTGTACGTATGTCGGGTGAATGTATATTCTATCCATATACTGCGTATTTCAACCCCTTGGTGTTAGATACACGATGCTCGCTTTGTGTGTGCGTGTGTAATAAATAGCGAGGATCACCACTGGCTCCCGTCTCTGCTTACAGATTGTGAGCGCACGCGCTGTTAGCGAGCGCCTATTAAGGCCGGCCACACTTCAATCAATCAAGTGTTTATTTCTATAGCACTATTTCGTGCAAAGGATGCCAGATATATAAAAACACATGGTCAAAAGACTAAATCAAAAGAAGAATAAAAGCAATTTCTATACAACACAAAATTGCATTATAATAAATTGCTGTTGAAGGCATATAAAAAAATAACACTAAAATATAATCTTCAGTGAAAGCAAGTTTAAAAAGGTGAGTTTTTAGATTAAACTTAAAATTGCTTACATAACGTGCAATAAATATTCGTTGTTGGTCAAATATCCCGATGTAGCAGCACCCTCCTCCTCCCTCTCCTCAATAGGAGTATCTCACGACGCAGCCGTGGCTTTATTGATGGGTAAAGAAGTAAATGTTATTATTATTTTAGGCCGAGTTGACCCACAGAATGCACAGGACTGTTTTAGAGTTCACCAATTGTAATATGTACTGAATGTAATCGCTGCCAGGATGTCCTTTGGACGTCACCGTCCCCCCCTCCCTCCCAGCGAGCAAACCTTTAATTTAAAAAAGAAATCATGATATTATAGAGTACTATTTGTAACGTGGGCTCGAAGGCAGGTGGTTGGCATTGTTGTAGTGCGGGGCTAGATCCGTTATGACACCAGCACATCGGAACAACAAACAAATCACAAATATCCCCCGTGTAGCCTTAGCAGACTGTTGGGGCAAGTGCTGTTAGCGAGCACCTATGAAGGCCGGAACGGCACACGAGGGGGTGGGTGGCCAGCACCACGCCCGGCCGCCTTTGTCTCCCCAGTGGCAATGTTTACACGCCGCACCAGGTACTCATTTGAGGCCGAGTCCACCTAGGGGAGGCCCAGTGGCGGTTAAAATAAATCGTCACTGGGCGTTGGCCGTGAGCGAGAATCGAACTCGGGTGGCCGGGTTCAGTGGCGCAGCGTAGCGCTAACCGCGACACACATCGCAACACACAAACTCACACACGCGCGCGTGTGTACGTGCCGCATATATCGGCGGCAATTGAGAACACAAAACACTTTATATATAGATACACACACACGCGCACGCGCATGTATATGTATCTATATGCGTGTGTTGTTGCGCTGGTAGCCAATGTCAAATATTGTTTGCGAATGCCGCTTAAAAGAGAAACAGTAACGTTTTATCAAAAATGCGACTGGTTTCGTGCAATGCCCCTTTCGTCGTCGCGAAAATAAGTCGCGAGTGAAGTAGGGCCATTACCCGAAACGTCTTATGTTGTTGTTATTATTATTGTAATTTGACTTGCCTTCTTTTAAAGCCGCACGTGTTTTTGTTATCAACGCAGCAGCGGCGGCAGCAGCAGCGGCGGCAACATCGCCACGTAATTTATTTTACGCTGAATAAAAACATCGATTTTACCAGTTGAATAGAGTTTGGTAAAAATAATTAAAAATATCCGACGTTAACGTCCTATTCAGAAACGAACTCTTTTAATCGTAATTAAAACTTTGCGAAGAACGATTAACAACGACAAAGATCCCCCGTGTAGCCTTAACAGACTGTTGGGGCAAGTGCTGTCAGCGAGCAGCACCTATGAAGGCCGGTACGGCGCACGAGGGAGTGGGTTGCCAGCAACCACGCCCGGCCGCCTTTGTCTCACCAGTGGCGATGTCTACTACACACCGCACCAGGTACTCATTTGAAGCTGAGTCGATCTAAGGGAGGCCACGGACCGGTTCAGATAATCGTCACTGGGTGTTGGCCGTGAGCGGGAATCGAACTCGGGTCGCCGGGTTTCGTAGCTCAGCGCGCTAACCGCTACACTACCGCTCCCCACAACGATTATCACACACACACACCCATTAGTTTTTACATTTTATTTCTTTACTCCCGATGCTATATTGGGGGGGCGGAAAACCATATTCGCGAAGATATTCCAAAACGAATCATGCCAAAACGTGATGGTAAATATAACCACGCTGTAACGATGATCCCTGGCCGATGTCTCAAATGGACAGTTTTTATTTCCCCCTAAACATTCTGTGCCCATAAAACTCCAAAACTCCCAAACCACCCCCCAAAAAGACCCGTCTCCAATCATCGGCGTGTCCAACCTCCCTGAAACAATCCTGCAATATTATTGTAACCACGATAATAATTGTAACCACAATAATAATCGTAATAAGAAGAAAAGGAATGACGACGATGATGATGATAAAATAGTGGTGACAAATAAAATGTCGATGCCATCTGTGCAGGGTTAGCAATTGTACAATGCCTGACGCCCATTGCCGCGGATCAACAGAGAGAGAGAGAGAGCGAATTACTATTTAGCAGTTGCGCGCGTCCGATTTATCCACCTAGGAGCGAGCTTGCAAGCCAGTAATTTTTTATTTTTTTATATATAATCGGATGATATTCTTATGCACTTTAGGTACAAATTACATCAAATGAAGGAAACGTGTCGCAGGAACGCCGCTTATATATATAGTGTTCAACAACAAATTATTCAATTTCTTCCCTTAATGTGTTAACGGCGAAGCATAAATCGCATTAGTCACCTGGCATTTGCCAATAATTGCGTTTTCGACTTCAGATACAATAACATAACCGAGTTACTTGGGGATTATTTGAGCTTCGCGTGGTTGTATTTTCTGACGCGTTGACTTGCATTTGCGACGATTTGAGCGAGCGCCTCCAAATTTAAGGCGAAGTCGAGAGCACATTCCGGGGGATATAATCGCGACGTTGCTGCCGAACTCGCGTGTCTCGCCCGAGCGCCGTGTCTGGCCTCCGCGTCTCCCCGTGTCTCCCCCCGTGCGCTGCGGCTGACCCCCCGTGTCTCCCCGCGTCTCCTCGTGTCTCCCCGTGTCTCCCCGTGTCTCCTCCCCGTGCGCTGTGGCTGACCCCCCGTGTCTCCCCGTGTCTCCCCGTGTCTCCCCGCGTCTCCCCGTGTCTCCTCCCCGTGCGCTGTGGCTGACCCCCCGTGTCTCCCCGTGTCTCCCCGCGTCTCCTCGTGTCTCCCCCCTGTGCGCTGTGGCTGACCCCCCGTGTCTCCCCGTGTCTCCCCGTGTCTCCCCGTGTCTCACGCCTGCTCGCCCGTCCGTCTGTCTGTCTGTCCGTGTGAATGCGCGCGCTCGTCCGTGTGGCCGCGGTCAAGACAGATGTTGAACGCTCAGACAACGGATCGACTTCTTTCGCAGCGAAGGGACAAGTTTTACGACGTTTAGAGCGGACACTGCTGCTGCTACTCCAGCGGTCATCGGACTTTGACGGATTGACAGCCACGTACGGCGACTTTTTTTTTAATTCAGGAGTAGCCGTTATGAATATCGCTTGATGCAACAACGTTATATGAATATTTACTCATAGTTGTACCGCCGTATCAAAATGGAAGATGTCAACGTTTCAAGCAACGGACCTTATTCAGGAAGTCTACGTAAGATTTTTTTTAACCGTGTGCGGATGTCGGCAAACACTCACGGACGACGGGACTCAGACGGCGCAAAAGGTAGCATTCCAGCACGCAGATATCATCACCAACACCATCACCAACACCATTATCAACATCATCATTAACACCATTATCAACATCATCATCAACACATCATCATCAACAATACATAGGTGTGCGCGCGCGTGTGAGTGAGTGAGCGCACACACACACACACAGAGACACACACGTGTCGGTATGCTGTACAAATTTACATCATCATAATCAACATCACATCACGGTGCGCGCGCGTGCGTGTGTGTGTGCGGTGGTGCAATGCAAATCGTACCAGTATACATACCCGCCGTGTACGGTCCGCCCTGGTGGTCGCGCAGACCGGCCAGGCTGCAACTGTTGGGACCGAGGCTGGGGCACACGGAGGCAGCGGCGGCCGCGGCGGCCGCGGCCCCGAAGCTGGCCCGGATGGGCGCGTACTGACTGCACGAGCCGTAGTCTGCGTACGTGAGTCCAGAGGCGTCAACGCCGCCCATGCACGAGTCGTAGGCCGACGAGTTTAGGTAGGAGAACTCCATTTTGTACATGAGATAGCCCGGGAACAAGTGTTGTGGTGAGTGGCGGTCTCCGTGCGTGTCGTAGTCTGTGCGTGTCGCGAGCGAGAGAGGAGGGGGAGTCAAATGTGCGGATCGCGTGCGGCAAGAGAGTTGTGTCGGTCACGGTGCAGCGACGCGACTGCTGCTACGTCTGATGCTGCGATGATCTATACGCCAGATAGGGTATCTATATAATCGAGATGTGTGTGTGTGTAAAGAAAGAAAGACGACGATGAAAGTATCAATGCAAGTCGGAGGCTATAATGTTACTCGGCGAGATGAAGAAACTCCAGACTCGAACGCAAAAAGCCTTGGCCGCACGCACTCTGTGAACGCGCAGAAATTGCAGTCTCACTCACTCACGTGCGTGCGTGCGTTCTCGAGATCGTGTGTGCTATGCGCATCAAACCCCGCTCGAGTATATATGTGTGCGTGTGTGTATAGGCGTGCGTGCGGGTGATGGCGATGTTGGCATTGGCAGTTAATGGCAGTGGTGGCGATGATGATGATGATGGCAGTAGTTGTTGGCGGTGATGATGTTAGTGATGATGTTAGTGATGGCGATGTCTTGAGTGCTTGCTGCTGCTGCTGGCTGGCTAGCTAGCTGGCTTTACTGGCTGTCGGTGCTGCTGCTGCTGCTGCTATGGGCCCCCCCCCTTCCGATGTGAGTCGGTCGACTGCACGACGAGCAGTGTGCCGCTGCGCGTGCCCTGGCCGCGTCTTATCCCTGGCGATGAGACGCGCCGCTTTTTTGCCCCACGGGTGTTGTCTGCGCGCGCCTCCGCGGGGCAAGGGGAGGAAGGGGAAGAGAGAGAGAGAGAGGGGAAAAAACGGGGGCTCGAGACAAAAGGCAGAGGAGGGTGGCGGTCGCCCCTGCTAATCATTTTACATAAGAATAAGTCATCAGTCTATTGGCCTGACCCTGGGGACGGGTCCGGCTCCGTTGCTCCTGCTCCTTCGCCGTTGCAGCTCCATCCCTCCCCCTCCCCCCTCCCACCCTTCCACCCCCCATGCATCATTAATTATGGCGATGCGCTCGAGGCGGCTTGGGCAACTGGAGTGGCCGCTCTCTTTGCTCGGGCTCCTCCGCTGAGCGTCGTGCTCGCCGCCGCGTTATGCGCAGCGCAACGCACGAGGAGGAGGAGGAGAGGCGAGGAGGTGGTGACGAGAGTATGGTGGTATTGTCTGGCGTAGCAACAGCGTCGTCGTCGTCCGAGTGGTGTTGCGTTCGTGAAGATTTTCGTGACATCATCGGCATCATCATTTGCTGTCGAAGTTGTCGTTTTCGACTTGTAGATGTCATCGTCACCGCCGCCATCGTCATGACGATTTCACGATCATCATCGTCATCATCATCATCCGAGTGGTGTCGTCATTTTAGTGTCGTCATCCGAGCGATATCATCAGCATCGCCATTGAGTCGTGTCATCGTCACATCATAATCATCATCATCATGTGCTCTGTAATAATTAGGTATCATCAGCATCCGAGTGTTGCCATCCTCACTATCATCCGGGTGACATCATCATAATCATGCGAGTAACATCGGTATCATCATCATCATTATCTGAGCTATATCACCATTATCTAAGCGACGTCATTAATATAATCAACGACATCGTCATCGGGGCAACATCGTTATCGTCTCAGGGATATATCATCATCATCATCATCATATTTTTTTTATAAAATCATAATATTATTAACGACTCGTACATTTGTGATGCATCATTGTCATCATTTGAGTTGCATCTCAGTAAAAACACGATTCTATTCTTCGCGACATCACCGTCATCATCAGATCCACAGAGATTTTTCTTGTTATTTTTTATGCTTTGTGAATATTGAACACTTATTTTTGCGAGTTTGTCAAGCTAGATGATGATAATAATAGGCACCATCATCATGAATAGACGGATACAATATATTTTTTTAAATTAAATTGAACGACGCAAACTTGACAATAGCATCACCCATCATCGACCCACTGCGACTCGCAACTGCCTCTATCCAAATGCGTAAGTCTATACGCATATGTACCTATTCCTATATATACAGATGGCGTGTGTACTGTGTGTATACGTGTGTGTACTACATAGACTGTATATGGGCGATTGATAGCGTAGCGGTTAAAGCGCTGCGCTACAAACCCGGCGACCCAAATTCGATTCCCGCTCAGGGCCAACACCGGTGACAATTATCTGGATCGGTCCTGTGCCTCCCCTAAGTCGACTCAACCTGAAATGAGTACCTGGTGCGCTGTGTAGTAAACATCGCCATCGGGGGAGACAAACGCGGTCGGGCGTGGTGCTGGCCACCCACTCCCTCGTGTGCCGTGCCGGCCTTCATGGATGCTACTCGCTAACAGCACTTGCCCCCAAACGTCTGCTAAGGCTATACGGGGGATCTTTGTCTTTGTACTAGGTGTGTGTGTGTTTACTTGAAGCCGAGTGGGCATGCGTACGCCTGCTTAATGCTCGCTTTGGCGGCATACTCCGCGGGAGGTGCACTACTTTCTTCACTTGACGACTGACACATTCTAGGTGTTCATCTCGACGATTTAGATCGTCAATGTTGGACGTTTAGGTTGTCCTACAAAAACCATTGTGATGTTTTAGTTTGACCCTCATTTTGTATATATGTATATGTTTATTAAAAAAAACCCAACGCGTTCGTGAATTGATTTTTTTTATAATCTATTCGACGTTACACATTTGTGCCAGAGTTGCAGAATGTAAGTCCTTCTCGTAGACCATCAGAATTGACACCAGTCACTCCATTCGTATTTTAATATTTTAGAGATACAGTAGAGACACTCACCCACACCATCACGCAACTTCATTGTTCCATGCCCGACACAACCTCACCGTTCCACATAGTAACTAACACGTGCACATATATGTATGTATATGTCTGCGCGTGCACATTTGTGTTTTATCGTTAGCAGAACATTATTATTATTATTTTTTTATTTACATTTTTTACCTACGTGACTTTACCGAAAAAACTAAGAGTATAGCAGAACAACAGTTTGTTGAAGACTGTTCGGAAGGTCATTGTCTTCGTGTATGTTTTCAATCGCACAAACAAAGAAAGACAAAGATCTCCCGTATAGCCTTGGCAGACTGTTGGGGCAAGTGCTGTTAGTGAGCACCTATGAAGGCCAGAACACACATACACACGCATGGGGGGGGGGGGGTGTAGCGGTTAGCGCACTGCGCTGCAAACCCCGGCGAGCCGAGTTCGATTCCCGCTCGCGGCCAACACCAGTGGCTGATATCTGAACCGGTGCTGGGCCTCGCTTAGATTCACTCAGCCTTGGATGAGATCAGCAGCTTGTGCGGTGTGTGTATAAACATGGGCACGGAGGAGACAAAGGCGGTCGGGCGAGAGTCTAGCAACACCACCCCCCGCTCCTCCGTGTGCTGTACCGGTCTTCATTAGGTGCTACTCGCTAACAGCACTTGCCCCAACAGTCCGTTCCAGGCAATACGGAGGGAGGGGGTATTTGCCCTGTATGTGTGTGTATTACACCGAGTATTTTTCGGACCTTAATGATCGCTAATTTCGTTGTATTTATTCAGTAGAGACGTGGTACCAGCTGCATTGCTACGACGAGAAAAGGATACCCGATGTGCACGTGATGTACGTGTGTCATGGTACGTACATTACGCATGTAACGTTACTCTGTTTTCAGTATTTTTTTCCACTCTACTGCTGGATGAAGACCTCCGCACGACGTGTCAAGAGGTCGCCAGGGGTGGGTTAAAAGAGGGGGAGGTATTTGACCATACTTCACCGCGCTCGTCAGTGGGGGTGGCGAAGTGGGGGCGGGGGAGGGGGGAAGGGCGTGATCGGGAATCGAACTCAGGTCACCGGATTCCTATCGCAGTCGCGATAACCACTGCGCCACCGATCCTCCCATTATGCGTGCGTGGGTATCAATGTGTGCACGTTAGTTCTAGATTTGAAGCTTTCGTGACTGCAAGGATTCGTACTCTTAGGTTTTTTCGGTAAAGTCACATAGGTAAAAAATAATAAAAATTTAAATAAAATATTTATTTTATTCCTATTATTTCTATTATTTCTATTACTTATTTGTCTTATTTATTTTTACCTCCCTGACTTTACCGAAAAAAACCTAAGAGTGTGCACGTTAGTTGGCCAACGAAAGCCAGAACGAGTCTCTTAAGCCACAATTATATCGGTGAATGTTTGCCACGCGGAAGGAAACTTGAGTACCGGGAGTAACACCGCACCTCCGATTGGCACGGTTGGCTAGGCACGGTACGAAAGAAGTTCCACGCGCATAAAACACTCAGAGCTCCGCACATTTAGAAGAAATTATTTATCGCCGTGCAGCAGATTGCTCGCCTACAACTCGTGGGGTATTCCGCAGTTGTCGTCGTATATCCCCCATCCAGGAACTCGCTCGGCTCAAGGTCTGCTTGGGTTGACAGATCCGACGATATTAGGTTACCCGCTCACCACCGATTGCAAAAAATCGCAGCCAATAGACAACAGTGAAGCCCAACCCGTTCGTGATATCTGCGCGGGCTGTGTTTGTTGTTGTTGTGATTGGATATCATCAGCACTGCTCGAGGCGGAGTGTGGCAGGGCCACATTGTTGTGTGCGCGTGTGTGTGTGTCTGTCTCTCTCGGGCTCTCTCTCCCTCTCTCTCTCTCTGCGCGCATTGTCTAATTCGTGTGGCCGATGTAGGTGCAGAGCAGTGGTTCTTCACCTGGGGGTGCTCGCACGGCCAGATTTTTTGTTAGCGAAGGTAAATCTAAAAACACAAATTAAGCACAGCCACTTAAGTTAGAACTTACGTCGTTTCGTGAAACCTACGTAATTTATGAACGCTATAAAAAAAATTAAGATTGAGAACCATGGGTATGCAAGGCTGCGGTTAAGGTGAAGAACAGCTGTTGTAGAGCAACGCCTTTAATTTTGACCGCATGCGAATATCAGATCACCCTCCTTCATAGTCCACGTTAGGCTATTGCGCTGATGTTAGCGAGCACCAATGAAGGCCGACAGGGCGCATGCACGGGTGGTGTAGCCAGCAACAAAAAATACTAAAATCATGTTTACACACCGCACCAGGTACTCATTTGAGTTCGAGTTGACGTAGCTGGAAACCCCAGCACGTCTGATGTTATCCGTGAGTAGGTCGGCAACTCGGTCGGGTCATCAGGGGTTCGTTAGCGCAGCGAGATAACCCCGCTGCAAACACCGAAGCGTGCACGCGGGATCGCGTCGCTCTTTGTGCGAGTGCGCGTTTGTGTGCATCCAGTGAGGAGCGGTGGCGCTGTGGTTAACGCGCTGCCTTACGAACCCGGTGACTCGAGTTCGATTCCAGCTCACGGCTAACACTGTCTGAACTGGTCCTGAGCCTCCCTAGGTCGACTCAACCTCAAATTAGTACCCGGTGCAGTGTATAAACATCGTTACCGGGGAGACAAAGGCGGCTGGGGGTGGTGCTGGCCTCCCACCCCCTCGTGTGCAGTGCCGGTCTTCATAGGTGCTCGCTAACAATACTTGCTCCTACAGTCTGTTGAGGCTACACGGGGGATCTTTGCATTTGTGAATCTTTTCGCGGCGGTTAGAGAGCAGCGCCGCGCTACGAACCCGGACATCCGAGTTCGATTCCCACCCGCGGCCACCACCAGTGGACGGATTACCTCAACTAGATCTTGGGCCTCACCTAGGCCGACTCGGCCTCAAATGATTACCTGGTACGGTGTGTAAACATCGCCACTACGGGCGCGGTGCTGGCCACCGCCCCCCTACCTCGTGTACCATAGTACCGACCTTCATATGAGGTG